GGGGGGGGGGGGTAAGGGAATTAATTCTATGCATCTTGCTAATCCCTATATCTATCTACCGTTTCAGTTTATTTCCTGTGTCATCAGTTTATGGTTTTCCTTGCTCTAAGTTTATCTAGACAACAAAATCTCTTTGTCAAAATTGTTTTACTTCTAGTTGCGTAACAATATTGAAGAATCTCTCCATCCCTGTTGTGTCAGCTCTGGTTCTCTTGGTGACAAAATAATTGGATTGCAAACATAAATACCAATCAATTTACAGTTGAGATCAAAATCAAGGCACTTAATGTGTGATACTTAGTCTTTAGGTCAATCAGTGTGGGATTCTTAAGCATCCTTTTCAACCATGGTACTACATTAGTTAGAAAAAGCACAAAAAGCAAAACGATCTATTTATCATAAAATGAAGCACACTTAACACGGGCTTTGGTCAAGTGATAAGAGCGCAGTATATAATGTATGGGTTAGGAGCACATATTAATTGGAGAAGGGTAGAGGGGCAAGCCCATTATCTATTGAGTTTTGAACCGTGGACCAATGGCACTCAGGGATTTCTCGGTTATCCAAAAACAAAGCCCCACTAACCACTGGGTCTTTACTTAAATGTGCTAAAAAGTTAATTAACATTGTTTGCGGTGAAATAATAAAGTTCGACTCTATGAATATTAACTAGGTCAACTTAAATGGGATTGAGTTAGTATGGAGGGAAACATCTATTTGCATTTTGTATGCTTTGCTAATGAAGTACACAGCTAGCAGCAAGCTCATCAATTTCAGACCAAGTAGCAGTGTGTGCTTAAGCTTTAATTGAGCCTGTGAAGAGCAGTGTTTCCATTTTAGCCTTCTCAAGTATAGTTTATCTGCTATTAAGTGATACTCCCAGTACTCCAAAGTAAAGTTATTTCTTCAATTACTGCAGGCAGAAGTTAACATCCACCACTTTTTTAAGGGATACATGGAAGGTCAATTTGATAGTGCTGGCTGGCCACAGCTTTTGAAGTTGCAAGGCTGGCCTAATTTTTTCGAAGAGCGGTCACCCCACCTTTGTGCTGAGTTCATTAGAAGCTTGCCTTTTAAGGAGTACACAGATCCTCAAAGTGGCTTCCTAAATCTTGCTGTCAAACTGCCACCAGGGTCTTTGAGACCTGACATTGGAGCAAAGACATATATCGCTTATGGAATTCCCCAGGAGCTGGGGCGTGGAGACTCTGTGACTAAGCTGCACTGTGATATGTCTGATGCGGTATACTTGGTTGCCTTTTCTTTTGGGCATATTTTTCTTCTCTCTGGACTCTGGATTATGCCCAGTGAAGATTTTTCTGGAGCACGTGGACATACTCATGTAAGCTTAAGCAAGTCAAGTTGGAAAAACTGCTTTCGACTCAACAAGAAAATGCACATCCTGAAAATGTATCCCATTAACTGAAGTGACTTTAAGTTCTGTAGTGCGGTTGGATTTATGCTAGAGACTTGCAGAATACACGGTCATTATATTCTGTTGCGCTCCCCGAGAACGATCTTTGATCTCTGTTTGAAGGGTGCCTTTAAATATGCAAATCTACACAGAGTGATGTTAAACGGTGAACAATATGCGTTCTTATTTGCTTCTTATAAATCTGTCTTTGATCAAATTATTTCCAGGTGAATGTGCTGACACATACTCAAGGAATAAAGCTGACACCTGTGCAGCTTTCAAGGATAGAAATATTGAAAAGAACATATGCTGCCCAAGATAAAAGGGAACTTCAAATGGCTGATGAGGAGCAAAAATGTAAAAATGGAGCATCATCTGAGTTCAACGAGGGCCAGTCTTTGCTAGGTGAGATATCTGATCTAATTACAGTTCAAGACTTCGTGAACTAAATTGTGGTAATCAATCAATTGATGCATCTGCTTCCTGTGTGGAATTAGAGAGAGATACTGCTGCTGAGGGGATAACAAATGGTGCAATCCATTTTACTGGCGCTTCTGAAGCAAGTGGAGGGATTAAGAATGATTGTAACATTGATGCGTGCAAAGGTAACCCAGTGTTTGGGAAAAGTGAAATATCTGAGGATATAGGAGGTGCGATGTGGGGCATCTTTAGAAGGCAAGATGTTCCGAAGTTAGAGGAATATCTCAGGAAGCACTTCAATGAATTCAGGCACATTAACTGCTGCCCTGTGCCACAGGTATATAGCAAATTTTCCAAGCTCTTGTACTTCGGAATGTGTGGGGTAGTCCTCCCCTAATTTTTTTCTTG